AATTGCCAATACTTCCAGTAAAGCTGGAGGTAGGGGAGAACTGGGCCTCTTCATTTTCTTCTTTCTTTCTAGTTCTCATCCTGGTCTTTGGGATCCTAGTGTTAATAGTAAGGTTATGGCTACCCTGCTGGCCACACAATGAGGTTAATTTCCAAGACCTGTGCAGCCAAAGCCTACTCATATAGACTTCTCTAGGCAGCAGACACTGATTTTCCAGCTGTATTTGTAAGAGCAACATGCTTAAGCGAAGGATTGCCTATTACCAACCCAAGTTGTGATGCAGCTGGAGCAGCCAAAATGAACAAGTTGTTGCTAGCAGGATTTCTTGACTAATATGGATTAGCGATCTCCCCCAATTCACAATTGTTATTTAAAAATGTGCTCTAGGCCCTGCTTATTCCTGCTTTTTATCCATATTCTCATTTATCCCAGCCCCGTAGTCTCCTGGTTAGAGTGGCTGTACAGAGAGGAGCAAGTGAGTATGTGCTCATGACCCTGTTTGGGCCTCTTTGTTCTCACTGGACATCATTCAGTCAAATCCTATTTGGCTGCAGCTGTGGTAACACTGTGTTTGGGCCCAGTCTTTACCTGAATTAGGAGAAAGTGCTGTCAGTGCCTTACTTCCCCTGATCTGGTTTTGAGACAAGCAATGCCCATCCACCCACACCAGACAGCCTTGAACCCTAAACAGCAAAACCCTCTCCATCCCCCTCTGACTGCAGCACGAAACTCTGCTGTACATGTTTTAGTTTTACAGTTTGAGCATCATTTTAGTCAAAGTGTGTCAGTTCTAAGTGGGGCATTTGGGAACATGCCATGACTGTATTTATTCCCTCAATCCTATATTATCCTGTGCAGTGTCGTAGCTGCCAAACCCACACACTCCTGTTGGCATGAAACAATTATCCTGGTTTATATAGAGCAGGCTTGGCAATAGTCTATCTCGATGAACAGTTGTAGTGCTGAAGATTCAGAGTCATCTTTTCCTCTCGCTCGAAGCAACAGACCAAATTTCTTTCAGCTGGATTCAGGGCTTTAAAAAATAAAATGAGTACAAGGCCAGTATGAAGAGCAGGGTGTATATGAACTACCTGTAAGGTCTGAAAGGAAATAAGAATGAGATGGAGAAAAAAAAATACCATTTAAGATACAAGCTAGTAATTTTGTTTCTAAGCCCATGTAAAATTATAAGTAATGTTTACTGTTGCCAGTTGGTGAACACAGAGATGTGTGGTTTTTACTTGCATGCAAAGCTATTGGTTGTGGGTGAAATACTAAGACAAAAACATTAAATCTCTGGTGTGGGTATTCCACCAAAAATAAACCCAAACAAACACTGACTTATTATAAAAGCACTTTTTTTCTGGAAACAAACATTCAGTTGCTGCTGCTGTTTGTGAACTCTAGAACTGTTCAAACCTCCTGTTTAACTTGCCCGAAACAATAATACTTTATTTTAGAATGTTATGCAAATGTCTCTGAAACTTAAGAATAGGTGTTTATATAGTTTTCATAAAAACAGTGTAAACTTGCAGGGACATTGATCAATGATAACTACTGCTTGCTAAGGTCTTGTGAACCGAAAATGCTGCATAGACAACAGTCAAAGGTAAAGAGTAGGAAACCTTTCTTAATCTTAAAAAAATGTAACTGAAAGTGGACTTAAATTTTAGTTGAAGAAAAAATGTTTTGCAGTGATTATCAAAGGTTAGTAAAGGCTTATTTTTCCTCCTTTTCTCCAGGCAGCTTCACTAAGAGATTTTTTTGATTTGTGCTCTATTATGAAAGTAACCATTGCTTTGTTATCAGAGGGGCGATACAGATTTTTGTTCTAGAGGGCCAGACACTATCACTACTTGAAATTCTCCAAATTGTTTCCACTGTGAGCAAATTCAGTCTCGATGTGAGTCACATCTGCTTAAAAGTGAATATCATTTGCTTCTACTTTACACCAGCATCAGACTTCACCTACAATTTCAAATTTTAAAAATCATCCTAAATCACAGGGTTTGGATAGTTTTGCAAAAGTGACTTTAAAACCAGAAGCACCTAATAGGAAATACTGAAATAAAAGCATTCAGCTTTAGCCATTTCTGGTGGAAACAGAGACGTTTGCTTTCAGATATGAATGCCTCTAGAACTAAAACAAGTCTATATGAGTGAGGTTTTCCACGTATGGACAAAGAAGTAGGGCTCACATGTAGCTGCAGTTTCTCCCCCCGCGAGCAGGGCTGGGTGGTGAGTGGCGAGCAGGGGGCTGGGCCGCCTGCCTGAGGCGCGGGCTGAGCTGCCCGCGATGTCCTAAGGATGGCCTAAGGGTTACTTGCGTGTTTAGCGCCGCAGCTGGGGCTGCACAGCACAGGGGTGTCAGCCACTCCACTGCCGCCGCCGACTCCCAGCCCTTCAGAGCGCAAGCTGTTCCAGCCGTTCCATCGCTCTGGCCGGCACTGATGGATTAATGGGAGGAAATGTTTATAGAATGGTTCAGGTTTCCTAAGAGAGTGGAATGAAATCCCCCTCAGCAATGATCAGCAAGCTCAGGTCATGCAGCAGTTTGAAGAAGCCTGACTGGCAGGAATGCAAAGGTTTTTTCAAAAAGGAAACTTGACAAGTGAGTGATTCTGGGGAGCAGGGAGAGGTGTTTTCAAATAAAAGATGTGGCTTTTCTAGAGAGGTAGCATGAATGGGGCTAGCTCTTAAAAGAACTTTTAAATCAGTAGTTCGTACTCTGTAAATGTAAAAGGTTAAGTTTGAGGGCACAGTGTCTAAATAAAATAGTGCCCTCAAAGTGCACCTCTTACATACTATGCTTAGTAAATGAAACCATATTGCTGTGCTATCACAGCTACTATGATGGCCTCTAGCTAAGGTCTCTCTTCTGTAACTTAAATTTTAGTATAGGCATAGTTTAAGTTACAGGAAGGGTGAGGAACCAGATGAGGAGGCTGAAATCATTGTGTGAAATGAAAAATCATCATTTCACAGGTGTACTTTTCTGTTTGTTGGGGCACTTTCCATGATTCTAGCAACACAGCTTAAGATCTAAACATTCATTTCAGTTTAAAAAATTTTGTAAAATAGACCATTCCATTGAAGCTATCAGCTTTCAGATGACTGTGATAAGAAAGAATGTAGGCTTCAGGCTAGCTATTAAGATTAAAGTAAAATTCACCTGAACAAAACTGCAGCTAGAGAAGGTGCTGTGGGGGAAGAAAAAAAAAAAAAAACAAACCAGTTCAAGACACTGCTCTTTGAAAGCCACTGAAAAGGACCTAGTCCTTAGTGATTCCCTAGGACACTCCTCCAGTCAAAGTGAGGATTTAATTTACAGCACTTGTAGCACCCTCCAGTTCTCAATCCCCAAGTTCCTTTGGAATGGGAAGAGAGCATTATCCTTAATTTCTAGATAAGGAACTGGTTTATCAGCTTGCCCTCAGCAAGAGGCAGAGCCTGGAAGAAAACTTGGCTAAGATGCAAGTACCTCAAGTGAGGGCAGACATTTGAAACCAGCTATCTCAAAATGTGCTCTTCTATTGTGAGGGGCTGGTAATCAGAACAGCCAGTTTCAAGTCACAGCTGAGTTTCTGGTCAATGCATTCACCAGAAAGTCTCTTGCATCTCCCATAACAAAGTGAGGGTGAAAACACTACTCGCAGAGCTTCCCCCCATTCTAAAACCTGCCAAGTGTTCAAAGACTAAAAGAACTTCATTAGAGTCTTTGTATTAAAAATTATTTATTTAGTGATCTGTACATGGGGTGAAGCAGGGCCTCATACAGACCTTCAAAAAAAATCAAGTAAAAACATAAATACATATTTTCTTACAAAAATGAGATTTACAAAATATACATACTGCACTTGTCTTACACACTTTTTTTTTTTCTTCTTCCACGTGCACGTTATAAGAGACAAAACCCCAAGCCCTGCAAGTCTGAAATCAGATCTACTGAAGGATTTGGCTGATGAGCCCATTCCTGATGCCCAGACTGCTGGTACGCCCTCAGACAGCAGCAGTCTGTTCCCCCTCACCCTGAACAGTTTTTTTTCTTTTTTAAGTTTCGTTCCAGACACTTTTCCCCAAAAAACGTGAAGAGCAGCTATAGGTTGGAGACTTGCTAAAAATCCAGAATTTCCTATTTTGTCCTTAGACAAGAATATACACACACACATATATACTGATAAAAACAACCCTTCAGTGAATATAAAGGTAAAGTAGTATGTAAAAAATAAAATATGAACAAAACTTAAAAATTTTCAGAATAGAAAAATCTGTCACATTTCTAAAAGAAAACAATGTAGTTGTTGATTAATTTTTGAAAGTTCTTCCTTCCAAGGCGTGATCACTGGAAACTTAACCAGCTGTATTTTAGCCGAAATGAGAAGGGTCCTCACTTGCAGTAACTGCTTGCTTTTAAACCCCAACCCCAGCCCCCTCCTGCACCACGAGTCATTGCCATGCAGCTCAGGGAACCTGAGGAGCAGGCAAAGGGTCCATCGTGAGCCAAAAGGATTCCTCCTGTCCCCAGAATCCGGCTGTGTATTGACTTTGTCTGCAGTGACCTCACTGCAAAGCAGGAGAGAAAGCAGGTTTATGGGAAGGAAAGAAAAAACCCCATCTTTACATTACATATTTCAATGGCTCTTGTTTTGGCAGGTGCTCTCGGTTAAGCTCTTCTTGCCCTCTAAATCTTGCGTTTCCTTCAGCTTAGAAAAGCGACCCATATTGAACGGTAGGAAAACATCCTGCCTCCTCCTTTTTTCATAAAAGGAATGTTTATTTCTGCGAGCTCCACATCCCAGGGTGAACCTTTTTGTCAGTTTGCCCGTAAAAACCGATCCCATGCTTATGCCTTTCTACATAGAAAACACTTTTGTTTCCCCCTTTGTCTCCTAGAACAAAGGCAAGGGGGAAAAGCCTTCTGCTGAAAAGCAACAAGTCATTTCTTTTCAGGGTGTGGAATAGCAACCCCCTCCTTCCCCACAGCAGCAAGAACAACAGACTGAGGGCCAAGTTTTTACTTTGAAACAATTACAACAGGTATCACTGAGGTAAAAAGGAACTTGTGAGCTGACAGAACAGAGGCATCTCCCCAGCACACGATCGGGCTGTAGCCGGCTGTGCAGTACTCACGTGATGGCTCCGCCGAGCTGGAAGGAGCAGGCAGCGAGTCAGGCTCAGGAGTTACCCTGCCCGCGCTGCAGTTCGGCCCCGGCAATTCAGGGATTATTGGGCTACTTCTCGGCAGCGGTAGCTCAACAGATCTGGCTTCCCCTCCCTCTTGTCCAAAGCAAGGCAGGATGATTTTAGTTGGGTTGGAGTTTTTTTTTCCTGGACAGGGGTAGCAAGGGGTAGAGAGAAGTAGAGGGACTCCTGGGGTGAAGGACTCTCCTATCCCACCAGTGGCCTCTTTTTTCAGTCCTCTTCCACTTAGCTGGGCCTAAGCACCACTGAACACAGTTTGACTGATCCTTTATGCGATAATTATTATTATTTTTTTTTTCAAACCTTCTGTGAGGAAGAAAAAGTTTGGAAAAGCCTCCCTTCCTCCCTCTTCAGGGAGCCATTGCCCTGCCCTTCTGCCGAGTATGTGTCTCCTCTGCATGTGTGCATGCGTGAGTGTGTGTGTGCCAGAGGGAACAGGGGGGTCTCATACTGCTGTCTCGCCTTTGCTGCCGGTGCTGAGTCTGTGGTAGAAGCGTCGCCAGGACTGAAGGGTTTTGCCAGACCAGATCCAGAAGCCAGTCGTGATCCCAACAATCATGGTCATGAGGTACTTGATCATGAAGACAGTGAAGTCTGGGCTCATAGGAGCAAAGTGGCTGGGACAGGGCACGGCATATGTTTTGCAAGTCTGGAGGAGCCACGTCTTCTCCCAGGTGCCACGGAAGGCCTGCTCATAGAAGTAACATGCCAGGACAATGGTGGCAGGCACCGTGTAGAGGACACTGAAGACACCAATGCGCACCATCAGCTTCTCCAGCTTCTCCGTCTTGGTGCCATCGTGCTTCATGATGGTGCGGATGCGAAACAAGGACACAAAGCCAGCCAGCAGGAAGGAAGTGCCAATGAAGAGATACACAAACAAGGGTGCCAGCACAAAGCCCCTCAGTGAGTCCACACTGTAGATACCTACGTAACACACCCCACTGAGTACATCCCCATCCACCTGCCCCATGGCCAAGATGGTGATGGTTTTGACAGCGGGCACAGCCCAGGCAGCCAGGTGGAAATACTGGGAGTTGGCCTCTATGGCCTCGTGGCCCCACTTCATGCCTGCAGCCAGGAACCAGGTGAGGGACAGAATGACCCACCAGATGGAGCTGGCCATGCCGAAGAAGTAGAGGATCATGAAGAGGATGGTGCAGCCTTCTTTCTTGGTGCCTTGGGCCACAGTGCGGTAGCCATCCTCAGAGAAGCGCTCCAGACACACCACCCGCTCCTCCAGCAGGAAGCCTGCGGCGTAGGCCACTGCCACCATGAAGTAGCAGCCCGAGAGGAAGATGATGGGCCGCTCCGGGTAGCTGAAACGGCGCATGTCTACCAGGTAGGTGAGCACGGTGAAGAGGGTGGAGGCGCAGCAGAGCACGGACCACACACCCACCCACAGCCGGGCAAATCGCACCTCCGCCTCCTTGAAGTACATGAGCCCGTTGGGCCGGGCTGGCTCACAGGGGGCCCCGCAGTCCCGCTCCCCCAGGAACCGGTAGCCCAAGTAAGAGGGCACTTTGAGCTGCCGCGGGCAGGAGAAGGAGAAACCAGAGGGCGGCTGTGGTGGGGTGAGAAAGTCAGGGAGGTAGCCAGCCGTGGGGTGGGCAGTGGCTCCCCCCCGGCCGCGCCGACCGCCAGGACCCTGGTGGGCGATCTGACGTGTTCTGCCCCACGCAGATCTCACCCGCACCGTGGACGGGGAAGTTCTCGCAGCGGAGCCGCTCTGGCCACTGGAAGCCGAACTTGTTCATGAGCGCCTCGCAGCCCTGGCGGGCCCGCTCGCAGAGGGAGCGGCAGGGCGGGA